ACAAGCCCCAGTATGTGCTGCTCTCTTTTGAGTGATATTCAAATAATCGCTACCATTTTTGCCAGCAGGACCTCTCCTGTACAGGGCACATGTGAAATTGCAAATGCTTTTGTTTTGGGCTGGCCTGGCAGGCTAGGAAGCTTCTCTCCAGCTCTCTCYTTAGGCCACCTGACAATGACATCCTTGGTCTCTCACTGTCACCTACATGAGAGCAACCAGCTGCCCAAAACTAGCACATCTCCACCGACCATGGATAAAAACTGTGTTTTTACAAAGTTTATAGCTCAGTCAGGTGTATTTGCTGTATATAAGGGGAACATTTTGGCACACGGGTAGCAAGCACCCTTGAGCATCTGTGTCTCTTCCTCTAGGTGTGCAGATGCTGCAGGTTCACAGGCAAACGGCTGTAGGCAGGTGCCAAGAACAAAGCACAGCCAGGCTGCACTAAGCGATAACCCAAACCTGCCTAATATAATTCTCAGAAACATTTTTTCTCTGAAACTGGAAAAGATGCATCCTGAGGAAACGCCTGATCTGGACCTGAGCAGCAGAATTACAGCGTTAGGCAACATCATGACCCCAGACAAGGGTCTGACAGTGTAAGTGTGAGGCTGCTTCTTTGCCCAGCGCTGCCCTCCACTCAAACCCCGGCACTGATCGGTGCTATCATCACCTAACTGGTAAATAACAACCTTGCAATAACATATTAATATTCAAGCAGCCTCAAAGCCTTTTTCATCACAGAATGCTGAGGTTGGAAGGAACCTCTAGAGATCATCTAGCCCATTCCTGCCCAAAGGAAGTGTCAGGCTTTGGCACTCCTTGCAGCCCAAGCTCAACTTCTGGTCTCTTTGGTGACTTCAAAGGATAAGCAGAACCCATAAATACGATCTACACACGGCTACAGGTGCTTCCCAGGCGGTCAAATCCGGATGCTCCTGTTAAGCTGCTGCCCTGGGCAGTTTGCAGTGGGGCAGCAAACTTGTCCCCAGCTGTTCCACACTTGAGGCCTGAGCTATTTGGCTGCAGTGTCATCACAGGCTGAATTGGGACGGAAAAGCCCAACCGCTAGTTCCTCTGTGGTGCAATTTGTGACCCCAAATCGTCTCAATGCAAGACAGCACAGTGAGGCAGAACCTCTTATTCATCTTCAATGAGCTTCAATGACATTTTTGAGCAGCACTGTAGACTTTGTAATAGCATTGTAAATCAGTTTTCTAAATTTACACCCRTTTTAGTACGAAATACAGGAGAAAAAATACCAATAAATGTGAGCAACTGTATTTGCAAAGAAAACACAATGTTGTTCTTCCAACTTTGACCCATTGGCTAAAGCCTGGCAGCAGTAGCGGCTCCATCAAGTTTGAGTTTTCCCTCACAGCGTTGATTGTAAAGATGCTCAAAACTTGTTCATGCTGTTGCCAGTGAGGATGAATCTGGATAGAAAGAGAGCTGAACTTCCCAGAGCCATAACAAAAACCATCAGCTCTGCAGGAGACAAGCTTTTGCGGGTACATAAACCACCGTGGGAAATTAAGGAGCCGCCTGCAGTCCTGGTCAGCAAACCCAAGTTTTAAGCTAACTGCTCTTTTTTATTTATTTATTTCTCGTCTCTCCTTTCAGTCACAATTTACTGACAGAGGCTGCTTCTTTGGCCAGTGACTAGCTCCTTGGTTGGCACTGCTCTGCTCTGCCCTGCTCTGGAGGCTTTGCCAAGCTCCACGTCCTTGTGGCACCAAACCACGGTCTCAGCCGTGCCTTTCTAGATGCTCCCAAAATGAATTAAAAGCTCACTGTTTAAATAAACACTGAGATGGGGATGTGGGTTAGCAGGACCTAAAGAGGCGACTTGTGCATGCAAGACTTGTTTCAGTTCTCTACAGACTCAACAGACACTYGAATGTGAAGATGTTTGATGCATATTTTATATATCCCCTTTACAATAGGGCTTGCATGCACAGTCTGCTCAATTTCACTACTTCAGGTTTCCATTTTCTTTACAGYACATGCTGGGGCAAACTGGGACACAGCCTGGTATCCCTGAGAAGCTGGGGGGAAAAAAGAGTCCCCTTCCCTCCCAGCGACCAGCAGTAAATGGCAGAGGATGCCGAGGGGCTGAGGCAACAGCTGCCTCCTGGCCYCGCAGGGACAGGCCCTGTCCTCAGCCACTCACTCCAACCAGGTGTGTTGCATCAGCCTAGAAAGTGTCAAACACAATAAACAGCCACAAAACTAACCCCGACCTGGACAGTTTTCTCTTAAACTAGCAAATTTCATCTCCTCATGGGGGCATCTGGTGTGGGCTGGGGCTGGCGGAAGGGARGAAACAAATCACACCCTTGAGGTTCAGGACAAGCAGCAGGAAGCGAAAACCTCCCAGGCAACAGCAACCCTGAGCTGGGCCAGGTACCCGAGGGACCTGCACCAATACTGGGAATGCTGGGAATCCGTTTTCTTCTGCTGTRCTCTGTGCAACCGGAGCGCGCCGTCTCCGGCAATACCTGCACCCCAGCCCGCCCGTCACAACCCACCTACTGCCACTGCCACATTATTTCTACTCATCTCTTCCAAACGGGTAACACAGGAAAAGGACCTGAATTTCAGTGCGAAAATAAATAGCCATTGCTAATAAAACTCATGAGCAATAAATTAAGTCATGCTTGAATTTTCTTAAAACTCAGGCACATTGGGCCATTTTCACATAAATGAAGCATCCAAAAGTCCTAACAGAAGGAACTACTTAGTTTCATAACAAAATCAGGCTTTATTTGTTACAGCTGTTCTTTAGGATACCTGATCCTAGACATAAATTCCTTTGTTTTGAAAATGGTGGTTCACATCCTAGGCCCAAAGTGTATTATTATCAAGGCAAATGAAATTAATTTTAGCAATGTAATAAACTCTATCGTTGCCTGGGAAATCAAATCCTGCGAATGATGGTGCAGCTGAGTCATTTCCTTCGATAATAAACTGATGAGATGCCATAACTTAATAGAGAGTAAAAACTTCAGGATGCTACCCATGCCAGCACAAAAGAAAGCTAATAAAAGCTGAGGGCAAATTCTGACGGGTTATTGGTTCTCTTGTCCTGTGTTAACTGGGCCATAAATGAGCATTTTAAACCCATCGTTGTTAGTTATATTAATGGAGAACTGCGAGTGCTTTTTTTTTTTCCCTTTTTTCTTTTTTTTTTAATCTAGATTCATGTTCCTTTTTCTTCTTTTTGATACCTACAGAAGCCTGACAGGTGAGGATATGTTTTGCCATTTCCCTTCCCACCTCTTACAAACTTCTGAATAAATAACAGCTTGAAAACACTATCAGCTGAGTTTGGAAATGTGAAATCAAACTCTGTCACCTTTTGTGTGTATTTTTTTCAATGGTAGTAACAGTTATAAACAGCAGGCATATGCCTTCTCCCATACTGCAGAATATGCTATATTCGTATCTGATACTCGATTTCCACTCAGCACATTTGCAAATGTGCCACGAACCACCTTGCCTGGAGAGTACGTTGCTGAAAGGGAATCCTAATCCACGGGCTTCATAGCATGAAATTCTCCGTAGTTCCCCGCTGCAGACATCAACCTAAGATTAGAAAACCAGGCACACTAAGATACATCTATGTAATAAATATGGTGCAACTGTAATATTTTTAATTTATAAATAAGTATCGATTACGAAGTTTAGTACTACTTTCTCAATAAAGCAAACCCCTATCAAGCGTACCTCTGCAATCACTCCTAATAAAATATAGTATTGAGCATAGTTGATGGGATATTTAAGGAATTGCCGCATTTATCATGCAAGAAGAGGCCGCCCGAGTTGGGACAGTTTACCGTGAAGCAAAAAAGCTTTGGGGGTGAAGAGGAGAATCTTATCACACTTATCAAGCACATTTCTGCACAATCTTACAGGAGAATTCTTTATTTTTTTTTTTTTTTAATTTTTGAAATGAAAGGCAAATTCATACTGGTTTGGTAACTTATCTAAGTGTAAATGCCATCAAAAGAAACGCTCTCCCAATTCCGACTCAAGTAACAACTCCCAAAATAAGGAGTTTTCACATTAGAAACGCAGGTTTCTGCCCTAGTTTGTAGCACATAAGCAGCAGCCTCAATTGAATATGAGAATCTATTCTTGGAAAAACAAGACCATAAATGCAAAACACATGTGTTTGCTCTTCCCAGCACATTAGAGGAAGCTAAATTCTAAATACAATTTACTCCTAATTTATTTTAATCTATCCCAAGTTATTGCAGTTGATTTTATTACATATTTATTTACATTAGACATCCSTTCACTCTTTTTTTCCCCACACAGAAGTGTCTTTACAAGGCATGAATATCACTAGCTTATTAAAGGCTTTCCCAAGTATCTGAGGACGCAGGGGATGCTTCACAGAGTGACTCGTGAGCACGAAACAGCAGTGGGCAAGGTGGGAAGCCGGTGCCACCGCACGTCGCCAAAGCTGGCCCGAGGGCGAGATTCCCTGCTCAGATCAACAGCTCTATGCCGGGCACTTGCGGGTTGTACGAAGAGCCGCTGAGTGGCCTGCTCCGCAGCCGCCGCTAACCGCGATGCCGCCTCCCCAAGGAGCGGCCGCGGCTGCCCGGGCTCGAGGGCGGCCCCGGCTCGAGGGCGGCCGCGGCGGCAGCTGCCCGGGCTCGAGGGCGGCCCGGGCTCGAGGGCGGCCCCTCGCGGGGCGGCCCGCTCGGGGAACGGCGCCGGCGACGCCGCCTCAGGGCGAGGCTGCCCAGGGCGGCTGCCCCCGCCGCAGGCGCCGCCTTCCTGAGACGAGACCGGAGGTACCGCGTCCCTCCCGCCACTGAAAACCGCCTCTTTCCCCCGAGCTCCCCCTCCGCCGACCCAACGGTCATCAACGGTCACCAACGGTCACCAACGGCGCCGCCCCGGCCCCGCCCCCGCCGCCGCGCGCCGCTCTCGCGAGAGCGGAGCCGCCGCGCGGGACATCCGGGGCTCGGGCCGCGGCGGGGGAGACAAGATGGCGGTGGAGTCGCGCGTCACGCAGGAGGAGATCAAGAAGGAGCCCGAGAAGCCGATCGACCGCGAGAAGGTGCCGGGGGGCCGCGGGGGGAGCCGCGGGGGTTGCGGGGGGCGGTTGTGCGCGGCCCTCCCTGACGGCGCCTCGCCCGCAGACGTGCCCGCTGCTGCTGCGCGTCTTCACCACCAACAACGGGCGCCACCACCGCATGGACGAGTTCTCCCGCGGCAACGTGCCCTCCAGCGAGCTGCAGATCTACACGTGGTGAGCGGCGGCGCGGGGCCGTGTCCGCGGCGTCGGGGGCAGAGCCGCCGGGGCTGGAGCCGCCGCGGCGCTTCTGGGGGCGGCTCTGCACCTTTCCCTTTGACGGGCTCCAGAAACTGCAGTGTCTGTTGCTAAAGCATTAGCCTTTGTGTGAAGCGTTTTGGAAAAAAAATGCCTTTCGAGAACAGTTAGGCTGCTTTGTAACCCCCCCGCTCTCTGTGCGCAGCGGTGTGCAGACGTACCTATGTAATGCATACGTGCTCACAGGCACGGGGAGGCGGCAGCAGTCGCTGTTGTGGCTTGGTCCTGTTGTGCTTGGAGTAACATAAAGGAGTTTTGGCCTGCTCCTCTGTGGAAGGGCAGCGGAGGAGTCCTACCTGCTAGGACAAAAATATAAATCTCAGTCTAAACATGGGATTTGCTACCCCTGTGCTTTCYCTAACATGGAGAGAGGGGAGAAAAAATTAACACTATTTTAACATAAGTCTCAGGTGGAGAAGTTCTTGTGCTCTATGTTACCTAGGCATCTGAAACTAGCCCCTGTTTTTTAAGCTAGTTTTCTGAGAGACCTGCAGAAGCAGATTTTGGGCCATCATGAGGGGAGGAAGAGATGGCAGTTTGGCTGCTGCTCCAGTAAACCAGAAGCTGAGGGGCACCCGAAGCCGCTTGTCCCAAATCCTGGTGTGTGTTTTCAGTGCTGCGGCCCCCGCTGCCTCCGGCATCCGGTAGCTGGTGGGTTCCTCCAGATGATCATCCCTAGAKGATTCCAGTCGCAGAGCTGTGGATCTGAATGTTTTGTTTGAGCTATCACATAGCTGAGAAAAAAACAACTCCCTATATTGCTTAAACATGTGAAACTTTAATCTTCTGTGCTTGGCAGAAAGTGTGCACGGGCAGGGAGAACTCAATAGCAGTAGGTTGATGTCAGTGTTAAATGAGTATGGAAAAGGGTTCTTTATTGCTTTTGAGAAAATGAGCCACCCCTGTTTTATTCCTAACTAGGATGGATGCAACTCTAAAAGAGCTGACCAGCTTGGTGAAGGAGGTCTACCCCGAAGCACGGAAGAAGGGCACACACTTCAATTTTGCAATTGTTTTTACAGATCTCAAGAGGCCTGGGTACAGGTAAATGGCTCTTTTTCTCCAGATCTTTGTGACTTCAGTCACCAGGGTGGTAAATTATCTTTCATCAATATTGATTTAAAGTCCAGAGCGCGCAAATTAAACCTTTTGGTAGCAGATAGCAGATGATGATACCTCTGCCTACAAACAAAACTTGTTTGGTGACTGTCATAGTTCCCAAAACAAGAAGTTACTCTGAGCAGAGACATTGGTCATGTAGTTTGCAGCCACCCAGCACATGAACCTACAACTTGAAGTTTCCTTTTCTGGTGCCATGAAAAGCGATAGGTSTTGTGCCAAAGAATGTGAATGGCGTCAATTCTTAGTGGTCCTTACAGGTATCCTGAGGACCCTTAGTGGCTAAGGGTCARCTTGGCCGCTTGGACCCTGGCTGCGCCCTCAAGGGCTCTCTGTGATGCCTGTGTTGGCCACGAGTCCCTGTTTTTTCCATTATCCCCATTTGGTTTCTGGTGGCAGGTCACACATAAGTGTGTAGCTACCAGCCAGGAGCCAGTGCGTGTAGCGTGTCCTGCCGCTTGCCGGGGGCTGATTTCTGTGCTGCGTGTTTATGGGTGGAGGTGTGGGATGGGTTTTTTTGGTGCTAGAGGGGTTCTGTGGCYGTAACAAAGCAGTCGGTTCTGCTCCAGCCTCCCCTCTTGCTGTCCCGTCAGCGGGGTGACTTCCCTTAGCATTTTAGGCCAGTGCTGCAGGAGGGGCCCAGGCGGTGCTGGTGGGTAAGCGCCCTCCCACAGAGGGCGGAGCGGGGTGGGAAGCACTGGTGCCGGTGTCGCTCCGGYGGGACATGCTGGGTGCCCCGTGGGAAGCGCTGGTGCTGCTCTGCGGGACGCGCTGGGTGCCCCATGGGAGGCGTTGGTGTTGGTGCCGCTCCGGCGGGACACACTGGGCGCCCCCGAGGAAGTGCTGGTGCCGCTGCCGCTCTGGCAGCASGCGCGCTGAGCGCCCGCGCGCCCTCCCTCCACGCAGGGTCAAGGAGATCGGCAGCACCATGTCCGGCCGCAAGGGCACGGACGACTCCATGACGCTGCAGTCGCAGAAGTTCCAGATCGGAGACTACCTGGACATAGCGATCACGCCGCCGAACCGCGCGCCGCCCCCCTCCAGCCGCATGAGACCCTACTGAACCACCGCTGCTCCCTATGACTTTATTTGGGGTTTATTCCTATTTGCTGTTCTAAGGCAGGCTGGCTTTTTGCTTTTGTTGCTAAGTGAGAACACCTGAAAACAAAGCTAGGCATCAGAGATGAGAATTACCTTTTAAACGYTGACTTTTATTGAATTTCTTTAGAGGGAGGCTTTTTTAGAAGCATCATCATCATTCTTTTTCTCGATGTTATAGTTTGAAAAGTAAGTTTGTGTGTCCAGTGTTTCAAGATTTCTGTAAAATACGACCAGAACTATTGCAGGTGTGCTGTAGTTGTATCTTGTTTGGAATAAAGATGGATGTTATCTTTTGACTCTGATAGTGTTTTATTATTTATTTTGTCTCAAGTGGATTTTTGCATGGRAATTCCAAAAGTCAGCTTTAAAGCAGAAGTTGAAATCCATACAAGCTTTTGTGCAGTAACTTTGGGGCTTGGTGTGTAGGTGGTGCAAGGGGGATTCCTTGATCTGCTGGGGCTGGATTTGGGAGGAGGAGCATGGGAAGAGTGTGGCTGGAGGCAGGTCAGCCCCGTGTCCTTCCTCCTGTGGAATGGGATGTGTTGAGTAGAAGGCAGGAGGTGCCAGGCTGGTTGTCCTCCAGCAGCAGGGCCAGGGCTGGGGCCTRTGACTCCCGGAGCACTGGGGCCGCTCCACCTTGGAGGAAGATGGTGCCACTTCATAGCATTCCGCAGGGGTCCACATAGCACCGTGTGTGCCGGGGTGTGGAGGAGCTGCCTGCCTTCCTAGGGAAAGGACTGGTGCAGCTCACTTACCTTACTGGAAGTTGGTATCCTTCCACGTGGAAGGTATTTTAAAAACAAACGTGAGAAGGACTTGGGAAGATAGTTCTTGAGGCAGATAGGATATCTGCAGCGAGCAGGCTAGATAAATTCCCTGTTTTCAGGTGAAAGTTGAATGAAGAGGCATGAGGAGCGAGCACCCTGAGCCCCACACCTGCCTGTTTGTGCTGTTGCTGCAGAGGAAGAGCTTCCGGGCYCTTCCCTGAAGAGCCTCCCTTGCAGCCTCGCCGGCATCCTCAGCCCGAGGYGGCCGTGTGGAGCTCCTCGCCCTGTCCTGTGAGGGCTGGCAGGGCTCCGGCGAGCAGGGCAGGGCTCCAGCATGAGCCCGGCCATGGCAGCATGGCCAGTGGGACGCGTTTCCCGCTCCAGTGCCGGTGCCTGCTGGCGCTTGGGTGCTGCAGCAGGAGCAGAGCTTCCTGGTCCTGTTRCCGTGTTATGGAATAGGTGGACAGGGAAGCGAGGCTGCAAGGAAGCGGCTGGCTCACCACATGCTGCACGCGGAGCCGGATGAGTCCTGTGGGTGCCAGTGTGGAATTGCACCCTTCCCCAGCCTCCTTCCAAACACGGAGAGGCACCTGCAGTCACGGCTAAGCCACAGGAATCTCGGGGTTTTCTTGTTCTTGTGGGGACCAGGCAACACGTAGAACTGGCTACAGAGCCAAAGACGTTGCTCCCCACCTTCCCTGTCTAGAGGAGCAGGTAACCGGGGCTGCTCTGCTCCCATACATGAGAGATTGGGTTCCTTCCTTCCTATTGGTGAGTTTGCTGCTATTTCAGGCYTGATTTTATTTATTATTGTTCTACAGACTTTCATGAAGCGTGGCTGGAAACCACATCCAGCCCTTCCTCGCYGTGCTCAGGCCTGAGCTCAGGGGCTCTGCCTGATGCTCTCCATCCAAGGTCCCTGCTCTGCGTTAGGGCTTCCCGCTTCCCCAGCAGGGATGATCCATGCGCCGCCTGCGGCTGTCCCCACGTCGCTGGATGAACAGGACGTGCCAAGCAGGGCAGGGACTGCAGCTGGTCCCTGCTGAAGGTGCAGGTGACAAGTCTGCCCTGGCCCCCAACCCGCCCGGCACCTACTCTCGGCCTGGCTCTGTCTCCCCCTTCTCCTGACTAGAACAAGGGTGAAGGTTTAAGCTGCTTCACGGCTCTTACTTGCAGCCTGGAACAGCAGTGATGCAGGGGGGGAAAAAAGGAAGGATAATCAACAAGCTCAAGGAAGCATGGAAAATGATTTGAGGAGACCACCTGAGACACCCTGCTGTGTGAGAACAACTCAGCAACAACAGTTAGGGTATTGCTGAACAAAGCACCACCTTAACGTAGCGCAGCAGCCGAGATGTGATCTGCTGGAGCCAGGGAAATCCAACCGAACTGCTGCTCTTGTCTCAGCCCCCTGTCTAGACATTATGGAAGATCAGGTGGGTTTAAATAAAAAAAAAAAAACATAGCAATTTCTCTGAGAAAAGACAGCAGTGAGGCACGTGGGTTGTAAGTCATGCTGCGTGTTGCAGAGCAGCTGCAGAGATTGCAGCTGTGACAAATAAATTGGTCAAATAAATTAATTGCCTGGGCAGCTCTCCCTGCCCGTATCTCAACTGCCTCCCTGCTGAGGTAGCTCCARGCCTAAGAACCACCCCAAGTTTCAGGGCTGACAGATACCCCAGCTGGGGTTGAGCGATTCCTTCGCAAAGGTGTTTCCGGGGCACCGGGCACGCGCTGCCGCCCGCCGCGGCCATCGCGTCTAGCAGGGGCTAAGGTCTCCGTTTGCTCCCTGCTGCAGGACCACGGTGCCCGATGAGAATGGTACCCCCAGACACAGGGCAGCTCCCACCTGAGCTGCAGAGGCTGTACGGATACGTCCTCAGGTGTAAGTAGCGGCAAGGGAGGGTCCAAAGGAGAGAACAAAGCAGATCTCACGTTTATGGAAAATGTAAAGCATCCATGGATAACCAAATAAGCGTGGGCTCTCACTGCTCTGGTGATTGATAAAGACGTCAATGAAAGCACAAGAGGAGGTACTGAAAGCAACGCTTGTCATTTGTTCACTTGACAGCTATCTGGGAAATTTAATTGCACTGGCAGCTCTGTGATTGTGTTTAACCTCAGGCAGAATATTCCTGGGATAACGAAACATTTACTGCGTAGAGAGGCTTCCTGGCCAGAGTAATTTGAGATGCTCCTTTTAGACTGAGGGTAGTTGATGAGAGAAGCTTCTCTCAGCAGACACGTTTCAGGTAATGAAACAATTGCAAAGAGACTAAGAATGATGCAATGAAGGAAGCTGGAAGCCCCTCTCTCAGTTGTTTCCCAGGTGTTTCTAATCCCAGAAGTGCAATTTCATGCTACGGTCAACCAGCTCTTACTGCAAGGACTGCTGCAGGATGTGATCCATTCCCACCCTTCCCTTGCATCTGATCACACAGGCAGAAGTTGACTTGGAGCTCATCAGTCTCCAGTGGGAGGGGAAACAGGGCAGAAACAAAGATGCTGGCCTCTCAGTGGCTCTGATGGAACTAATCCATGAAAAAACTGCACAGCCTCCAAGTCAGATGCTGGTGAAGCAGCCTCTAGTRAAGGCAGCCTCCAGTCAGACTAGATTAAACATAACACCCAACTGTATCTTGAATCAGCTTTTCAGGCCCYGTTGCCCCTCTCGGAACTGGCAGGACTGACTCCCAACACTCAAACTACAGCTTAGGCATTACTAAAACCCTAGTCCTTTTCATTGCTGACCACATCCACTTCAGTGCTATCTCTCTCTTTACACCAGAGACATAAGTACATGCAGGAAATTACTTGTATTAGAGTAATTCCAAAGGCAAGAAGCAAAACCACAATGAATTTGTTAATTTTCATTTGTATATTCCAAAGAATAATCTCACGCCCACACCCTGTCATGAAATGTTACAGTCTACTCAAGTGATTAAGAAGATTTCAGCTGTCATCCCGAAGAACATCTGGTCTCAGAATACCAAGTGAAACACTCCTTCACATGAAACTGCTATAAAACACCCAAAGCCTTGTTTCATGAGCAAGAAAAAAACGATACGAGTGGCCCAGGGCAAGAACCAAACACTGCTAGGTAAAACAGCACGTTGCCCCTAGCAGGGCCAAGAGTCTAGTGCAAAGTTGTTCTCAAGTTTAGACAAATGGGGGATCGCACCTAGCGGCTCCTTTGGAGCTTCAAGAGCCACTGGGTGCTGGGCAGGGCGAGTGCAGGCTGTGACCTCCCTCCTGCTCAAATATTTCTGCTCACAAAAATATTTTGTACCTCTTGGTGATGATGAAAGTCGGTGGATCTCCTGTAAACTAGTTCACCTATGAAGATGCTGGAAGTAGGGCCAGCCTTCACTGCTTGATGAGGGGTACAACAAGTTAGTTTATTACGGTGGAATCTGATTCTTCCAAGTGTGACAATGTGCCCAGGTCCTATCTAGTAGAAAAATCATTTTTTTTCAGTTAATTTCACCCTTATTCCAGGAAGGGACTAGGATGGCAGAGAAAAGTCTCCTCTACTTGCTAGGTTTAGCCAGGGCAAGTCCTTCTAAGCAGCCATGGAAATACCTCCAGGCAGCTCTAGATGTTTGCATGTCCTTAGGATTTCCAAGGACATTGAGCAGTGCTCTGAAGGCTCAGGACAGCACACACCTCTCCCCATCTCCCGGGCCAGTTAGTCCCTTCTCATCCCATATGTGAATAACAAAATTTTAAGCCAACAGACACTGCACATGCAACTGCTTAGGAGCAGTACTGGAGGTTACTTGGATGAACTAGAGAGATGACACTGGTATGGGGAAAACATCTCCAAACAAGGATACAAACTTAGGATTTATTTTGGACAGGAGTAAAGTTTCTGATGGGAAGAGCGCTAATTGCTATGACTGCTAAATGCCAGAAAACCATCAAGCAGGTATGAGAGCTTAAGTGCAGTCAGCCATTAAAGGGAGGTATTTGTGTTACTGGAAATGACACCACCACCTAAGGAAATCACGTGGCAAGAGCCTGGGGGAAGAGTTAAACAATCATCTCCATGCCCTCGAATCTTGCCAGCAGCCAGACACTATGAGTATAAAACCAGGACCACTGCACAATATTTTAAAATATATCATGTTCCAGACAGCCCCCCTTGGCTGTCCAAAGGGACACAGATGCCTAGTACCTAACAGGATGTCCATGTAATAAAAAGTAATTGTGAAAGGAGCATGTCTCGTGCTTTGAACCCAGCYGATTAAATAGACAGCCTGATGAAATGACATGTCTGACAACTCTTGCTATTGCAGAAGTGTCAAATATTACAGAAGTCCTAAAAGTTGCTTTTCACATAAGAAACTTCTCATTTCCATTGAAGTAACACTCCAAACTCAGCCCTGAAAAGATACACAGTCTTTCTAGAACATCTGTAGAGACTCACTTTTTCAGGCAATATACTGGACATTTCCTTTATTGTAACATAATTRCACATCTCCACAGCCTCCTGCGAAGGCAAGCGTACACACAACCAAGAGGATTCACCAACAGAAGTACTGAGGAGTACAKGGCCAAGGTCTCTTTGAAGCATATACACATTGAAAACAATGCATTTTTACCAGTAATTTCAAATAAAAACTTAAGCACCATGTTATTAGTTTTAACAGGTTGCTCCACATAAAGCTTTTTCCACAAAAAGGCCTTCTTCCTTTACGTGGTTCTTGACTGTCTCACTGCTCCCTCCCCTCCTGTTATTTTTTGCTTTGTGAATTTGCTGCAACTCAGTGATAAGTTCCATGAATGTGAAACGGGCTCAGCATGGGCCTGAGGCTTGATTTCAAACATTTGGCTTGATAAGTTCAGGATATTCTCTGCAAATATAGCCAGAAAAAGTTCATAAGTTAAGCATGGTAATAATATTTTAAATTTACAGAATAAGCACATTTGGCCAACTTAAATGCTTCGTCCAATGAGGAAAAAAAAAAAGTGCCAGCTAAATAAGAGCTTTGCTCTATTTGGTTACTCAAGGGAATTCCAACATCTTCTTTCAATTCTGTAGCAGCTGTTTTTAAAACTTATTTTCCGTTATTCAAAGATTATTCATCTATACATCTATTCATGTAGGCTAATTTCATCTCACATATTGGCTATAAAGTATTTTAGAGAACTTAGTATTTGCTAAAATGTCCATGTAATTGACTGCATCATTTATGTAGTCCCCGTCCAACTCATTTTAGTTTTATTACTTAAATTTCATCAGAAAAAAAGCTGAAGGCATTCACTTGGGCTTTCCTTCCCACAAAGCAAAAAATGCCTACAGAAAAAAATAGCAGAATTCTAACTTCATATAATTTCTCTTCTAACTTGGGAAGATTCAGGCCTAGTCGATTCTAATATTTGTTCTTTGGCATTCTGACTGCCTTCATTGTAAAGATTGATTCATCTCAGAATCACCTGGATAGCTGAGGAATCAGAACTGTACGAATTTTTCAAGCGCATTAAACCACCTTCCATAACTCCTCCAGATTCAATTACTTAGCCACAGTCTTAAAATTTAATCATACCTGTTCTCTTTGTTGTAATAATTTGAGAAATCACTTTCATATCTTGTAGTGTTTCCTGCTTTGATCTCCACCTTCTTGGCTTTAGAAGAGCCTGATTTTTGATTATATTTTGATAGAATCTACAGCAAACATCAAGAAAGAATAAAAATAATTACGTAGGAACTCAAAACAGGATTATGATTGCTACTTAGTTGAAAATGCAAAATGATTCTCTTTCAAGAGTAAAATTTGACAGAAATAAGTCCCTTTAATATTATTTTGATATTAAAACTACTGCAAAACAAAACAAACTGACCTGTAGAACATCATCTGGTATTCTTGTTATTTCTGGTGCCGGAGGAGTATTAATTAAATGTTCATAGTCCTTTATTTTGGGAGGAGAAGTGTCTTCAAAATGTTTCAGATATTCATCAGAGCTTACAGCAGATGGAATGACATCTTCTATGTACAGATTACTTGTTGCATCATTTTCGGCCACCAGTTCAGGCTTCTCCCTCTGCTTTACATGCTGCATGAGAGGTTTTAAATACTTTCAGTTATTTTACTTCAGTATGAAATAAGCATTCTTACAAGATTGCCATTGGAAAGATATTCTACAATGACATTAGAAAAAGTAATATAGGAAAAGGATCCCAGTCTGATGTTTTAATATCCTCAATTATGTTAATTGGAGATTAATAATTCCATTAATAATGTTAAAAAGTATATCTCCATGTTAAAAAGTATATCTTATTATTTACTGTTTTAGTTTCTCATTGTTATTTGCTACCTTAGTTTCTATTTTTAGCCATCCTGTTTCAAAATCTGGCAGTACTGGTGTTCCTGTGTGGCTAGGAAGACTTATTTCGTTTGTCTCCGGTGTTCTTGGCAATCCCACGCCATCGGATACGGAGGGGATTTTCACACCCGGYGTGCAGAACACAGGTATCACAGGAGAAGCCATATAATCAGCTGCTGGGCAGAAAGAAAAATCCAAATTACATACAAACTATAAGTGACTTTAAGAGCCACAAAAGCAAGATATAATAGCAAAAAATCTAGTCTCATTACTCTGCATAACTGAAAAAGTCCTGAAACAACAGGAGATTAACATTTCTTTAGTTTTCACATATGCAGCTGTCAACATGTTTGATTGAGGCCTTTATTTATTTTCAAGAAAATATTAAAGTATTCAAGGAGAAGAACCCTCCCCCCTCACAAAAAAAGCAGATCTGTCTTGAAAGATCTTACTGTTCAGTTAAACTCTTTTAAAGTACTTATTTTCTCATTCTTTTATTTTTATTGTTAGCTTTAAATAGACTTTTCTTCCTCCCCCTCAAGAATTTTCATTAGATCTTAAGTTGGCATAAGAGCGTTTTCATTACAAGTGAGGAAAAGCTGCGCTCAAAGTGACTGATCCCTCTATATAGTTCTAGATGGATATTAGAAGAATACATGGAGATTTATACCAAAGCAAAAAGACTTCTCAGGGAGCCACCAACTTTTCTACTTATTAATTTTAAGAATATTTAATATCTAAATAATAACTGGGCCCTAATTAGCAATCTACACTAAATAGAGTTCAAAGAGCATCAACAGATGTGGTATGTAAAAATTACGGATCTATTTTGTTTTACACAATTCCAACTCACCATTCCCATCTGTCTTGTTTGGTTTTGGCCCAGGAGTAACCATGATTTTCCTAGGTGACATTTCTGCTACACTCACTTCATGATGATCTTCCTTAGGCAAGCTGAAGTGAAATGCCAAAGCCCACAGTCAACTCCCAAGCATAATTTAATCCAAGAATTTAATCCAGGACATTAAACAAATAWGCAGTCTAAGATAGGATCAACTTGTTCCAGATGCTAAAATATACATTACAGGGACAATCTATTTGATTTCGAATTGCCTGTTGCTGGCAAAATTCTAATTAACAACAGTAGACTGACARAGATAGTTGAAAGATCTTATTTGATGTTGATTGAATTGCTGGTTTTTTTTTTGTTTTGTTTGCTTTCCACATTTTTAATAATTTAACTCTTGAGAGCTTTAAAAAGAAAATTGAGTGACATTATCTCTTACGATAAGTTAGATCCTCTCGGGCGGAAACCACTGAACTTGCCAAAGGTGAGAAGATTTTTCACACTATAGTATCTGTATTGCAAGTATCAGATTTTTTATATATTATTATTTCCACAATTTTTAAAATATGGTTATTTGCTGGCAAATTTCCTTTAAACCTAATACTAGGCTGCAAAACAGAAGGTTTCCCTTAAATAGTGTCAACTTTCATAATTCAATATATTTCTAATAATAATTTGAAAAACATTATTTACTTTTATATTGCTTTAGAAGCACAGAAAAAAATATTTATGCTGTTAAGGTGTTCTAGCCCTTATTGTTGCAATGGTTAAAAACTTTTCCCTTATTTTCACTAGAGCTATGAAAATTAAACATTTTTTTCAACAAAAGTAGATTGACAGGAGCAAAAAAAAAAAATCTTGCTAAGTGGCTTTGGGTAGCATAAGAGAGAACACAATGTATTCCTTCATTAAGACATTTTAAGTGAATGCTTCTGAAGTTCCATCTGTTGCTACATTGTTACAGCTTCTAAAAATCTTGAAGTTAAGGAAAGCAAAAAAATGACAGATACACTTTGCATTTTTCCAGTTTAAATAGACTGTGTGAAGGAAATTTTTAGATTTGTAGARTGAAAGAAGGAGTATAACCAATACGAGCATCACGGCAGTATCTAGCCCTGCAAACTGGATCTGGAAAAATACGCAGAGTTGAATATAAACTTAGAACTACCTCCCTAGAAGGCAATAACAATTAAAGAAGTAAACAGTGCAGAAGGAGAAAAAAAAAAAAGGCAATAGCAGCAAGAAATCGGCATAACAAGAAGTAGCTATAGAAAACTATATAGAAGCTATATATGTGTATTTTCTATAGAAAACTATAGAAAACTTGGGAGGTTTTCTTGCTCACTTTTTGCTTGTCTGAGCAGTTTTATGGATGAGTGCCATTGTATAATCTTCATTCATACACATGGTGTGCTCACTAATGCCGAAGTGTTCTAGTTTTGGTGTCACACACTCGTAGTCATCCATCCTTAGCATACACTTGGGTGTTTTGGGCAACATAGACGGGGCCTGGGTTTTTAAGGGAGTCCTGGTTTTTGGATATTCTTGATGTRCGTTTCTTGCATGTTGTTCATTCCTTGTGCTCCAAGTCCTGGAGAAAGCGTATTGTGAAAGCCCAAAATCCGAAAGCTGGGGGTTACGCATAGGGTCTTTGGGGACTGGTGGCTTCTCTGTACAAGCAGGAAGAYGAGTATCATCATCCACTTTCTCTTGATCAGATTTATTCTGGATAGACACCTTTGATTGACTGTTATTTTCCTCCTCCTCTTCCTCCTCTGTTTAATGAGAGTTAATAAAAAGTCAAATATCTCAATTTTAGGAATATTATGAATTTGGAGTTTGCACTTTATAGATGAATTAATGATTCTCTCCCCCTTTTCAAGCTACTACGGCTTCATGGGCTACCRTTCATCACCAAAGCCCTGTATGTGGTTAATCTTGTCCCACTTAAGACATAAAATACATTAATTTTTCTTTTATGGTAGTTTATGTTAATGAAGTGACTAAAAATGCAAAATAATCTGAATTAGTTTACCACAGTCTCTTGCATACAAGAAGTTGAAACAGGGTAATTCTCAGAGTTATTAAAATATACTTGCTAGCATGTTTTCTAAACATATATATTACTCAAAACAAAACAGAAAGAAATATTACCGGGGGAATCTTTCACAGGTGGTTTATAGCCATATTTCTGGAACAACTCCCTTATTTTTCCAAGATCTGCTGCATTTCTTTGCATTAATATTTCACTTGCCTTCAYAAAGTCATGAATTTCTTGCCTCTCAGAGCAGGTCTTTTCGAGACTGGCATTAACATCTCCCTTTTGAGGTAAGGGGAAAGACAGAGATAGGGGTTTTCAAATCACCACCAAACTTTCAAATCAAGTTTGAGAAGAGCTTTTGAACTTCATATGAGAATAGGCAAGAAAATTTAGGTCTTGTCTATATACCTGAAAACTAGGCTTAAAAAGTATCAGGAATATATAGGGCGTAAGTATACAAAAGTTTATACTATACTTTTATACTATAAAAGTTTAAACTAAGAGGACAGTTCACAGAGTAATTGCTAGTATCCTCTCAAATATATTTACTCCATTAAAAAAAGGGCAGGAGAAGACAAAAAGAATGAACATAACTTATTTGTGATTTTCACTACTTGGGCACAAAGAATTAGTAGAGACAGACAAGCCTTAAAATGATGCCAAACCTTTCTTGGGTACTGCCCAATACTCCCAGAACCACTAYGAGGACTTACAAGTAAACCAATAAAAATCAGGGTCAGAACTGTCAACTACTAAAATTGCACGGCAACACACCATCTAAAGTATAGCTATAAGTTTCTGGAAGCCTTCTGCTCCCATCATTTTCAACCAAGCAGCTTAAGACCTTAATTACCTTAAGGGCCTTCACTTCACAGTGCAGGTCATGTAGGACRCGTATTGGAGATTCTTCTTCATAGTCTGACATATACATGAAAAAAAATATACACATTTATCTGTATATCTGCATATACAGAAAAAAAAAATTGAAAGAAAAAAGGGGATTTATATTTTRGCTAACAGGTACATACTGCTTCAGCGTGGGATCATAGGAGAAAGAAAATGAAGAGGAACTAGCTTGTATTTTATTGGGTATCTTGCACAGCATTTGACTGCAGTTTGTACAGAATGACAAACTACACAGACAAAACTGCACGGACTTCCATTTTACTGTCCCAGCTAATACTGTAAAAAGTAATAYATGTCAGATCTTGCTGCAGGAGGTAGGGCTGTAGGCTGTAAATAACTATTTTTGTTAAATTTTATCCACTGAAGAATTTGACTTTTTTAAAGGGGGGGAAGGTGATGAGACAGCCCTGAAACCTACCATAAAAAGCTGAATTTTCCCCAACTTCTTTGCATCCATGCAGCTATTAGTACTGTACATTTAAACACACAGCAGTCAAAGGCAGACATTACTTCACTAGAAATTCAGGTTAACACAAGTATATAAAAGCAGGGGAAAAAAAAAGTTATGTGACAAGTTATGGCAAAGCAGACAATAAAATAGAGTGGTCAATCCAGTCTGACTCTGACTTTTCTGGAAGCTGCCTCCACACAGTTGGGACTGCCATCAGGGCCCCCTCGGTTGGCTTTTTGTCAGACTGGAAAAAAATCAGTGCCCTCCCCATCCCCTTGTGTCTCACTAGCTTCAAACTCTGAGTGCTGGGGCTGACTGCTCTGGACCCTGCACAACTTCTTGTTCTACAGAAGCCTTATGAGCACCAAGGAAGGGAGCATAACAWTTCTCCTCTGGCAGCTGGCTCATATCCTGCTAACGCAGTCCTCTGGGGTCATCCCAAGTTAGCAGACCAGGATTTAATATCTTTTTTCCTGCAAAGCATCCCCCAGGCTGGTGGTCCCCAGCTTTTTCCCTTTGCACAGGAGGGCTCCAGCTCAGGGCCAGGCTTGTTGGACTGCATGCTGTTTGTATCAGCCYGTTTCTCCCACTCATTAGGGTCCAAAGTGTCCCCTGCCCTCCAGRGCTGGGGCTGCCCAATTGACTCCAAGATGCTTGCAACTGCACGTGGATCCTGGCCCATCCATGAGGAAATGCAATGGAACCGAATCCAACTAAAAACTAGGAACAAGTACCATCTAGATCCCCCTTTGAAGTAGTGCAGATTTGTGGATGTTTTGAAACAAAATAAGGCTATGAAAACTTAAAAAGCAAATCAATAAACAAAACAGAGACTGCAGTAGTTAGTCCTGCTTGTAGGGCTGCTGTAGTAGGGGCAGCAATACACAGGGAAGCAGCTGTTAAGCAGCACTCATGTCTGACGAGGCCCAAAGGAGCAAAAGTCTTTGGCTGCACCAAGCACCAACATGAACAGACAACACTGAAAAGCAGTCACGGGCATTTCATTTACATGAAAGATGGAGGAATAACATTCTGAGTGAAAGATATCCGTAAGCATGCCAAAACAAAGGAAAAAAAAAAGACAATTTTGATTGAGGTGATACTTATTTCCATACAAATATTTAGCCCCTTCAGCTGAAGTAATTTTCCTTAAGCTAAATCTAGTGAAAAAATGCATTTTAAAGAAACAAGAAACTCTATTCCTCCCCTAAATTATTTATTTGGTAAAGTGCTATGGAGATGCACTGCAAGCCAGCAAAGTCATCAAATCTACCCTTGGAGAAAGTTATAGTAAGAATAATAAGAAACTGGAAAAACAGTGCTCACTTAAGAGCAGAATGTAGTTATTTATGGATMACTAACTAGTAAAATAAATATGGGTCATCAGAAATACATTATTTAAAGAAATTGAATATGAGCAAAATGCCGTAGTCACATTATAGACTGTTYAATTTACTTTCAAAAATATTATTTCCATTTCTGATAACTTTGTCACTAGTTCTTCAAAGAGGTCGTGTTGAAATAAGATTCTAGAGCAGGCTGCCCAGGGAGGTTGTGGAGTCTCCTTCTCCAGAGATCTTCCAAAGCCGCCTGGCTGCCACCCTGTGCCCCGTGCTCTGGGTGTCCCTGCTGGAGCAGGAGGTTGAACTGGGTGATTTCTAAGGGTCCCTTCCAACCTCAACCAGTCTGTGATTCTGTGATTTTTTCTCCCAAATACATTAAGAAATCTAGTTGGTGGATACAAGGAGCTTCCAGAAAAAAAGAAAAAATGAGAACATTCTAATAGCTATCTTAATTAAAAATACGATRATTAGGTCAAATTATTTTTACATTCTGCCCTCCTATTTTTTAGGAAAATCTTCTCCCCAAGTTTATTCTCCTCTCTGGAAGCAACCAAGCCTGGAAAGGTRTAATTTCTCTACCAGAAGAATCCACTTTAGAATCAGGACTGGACTTCCACCAGCTAAGGAGGCAAGAGATACACGCTCTTCCTTAGACGACATGTGTTTAAGGAGGAGACAAGTCCTGGGAAGCAGAAGTATTTCGGAGCTCTACAGAGAGTTGATTAGAAAGAGTAAATGAAAAGAGATTAAAAACAAAAACAAAAAGAAACGGAAACAGGATAAAGAGGGGGGGAAGAGAAGGTGTCTTTTTTAACTAGATGTGATCAGTATTAGTTTTATTTGATGCCTAAGATTCAACTAAGYACATAAAGCTATGTGCAAAGTTGTGCAGGAGAAGCAGGAAATAACAAATAGATTGACACACAAAAGCTTATRAAAAGGAAAAACTATCGCAGGAACAAAATTCCAACGAGCAAAGAAACAGCAAATGAGTTGCAGAGGGCTCCAGCATCTGTCAGACACAGAATCACAGAATGCTTAAGGTTGGAAGGGACCTCAGAGGTCATCTAGTCCAACCCCCCTGCACACACAGGGTCACCCAGAGCACCGGGCACAGGGCTGCGTCCAGAGGGTTTTAAAGATCTCCAAAGAAGGAGACTCCACAGCCTCTCTGGGCAGCCTGTTCCAGGGCTCTGTCACCCTCACTGTCAAAAAGTGTTTCCTTAAGTTCCTGTGGAACTTTTGGTGCCTCAGCTTGTGGCCTTTCCTCTAATCTTATCGCTGGCCACCACTGAAAAGAGGCCGGCCCATCCTCCTCACTGCCTCCCATGTGGGACAGGCTGCCCAGGGAGGTTGTGGAGTCTCCTACTCTGGAGGTCTTCAAAACCCGCCTGGATGCCACCCTGTGCCACATGCTCTAGGTGTGCCTGCTTGAGCAGGAAGGTTGGACTAGATGATCTGTAGAGGTCCCTTCCAACCTTAAATATTCTGAAATATTCTGAAATGAGGTATTTATAGACACTGATCAGGTCTCCCCTCAGCCTTCTCTTCTCCAGGCTGAACAGGCCCAGCTCCCTCAGCCTTTGCTCATAGGACAGATGTTCCAGGCCCCTGATCATCCTCATAGACCTAAGATCCCCTTCTCCTCCCCAAAACAAAACAAAAAAMCTCTGTGCCCAGTCTATATTATCCAAGCACAAATAGGTTTGAGAAATGCATGATGGAGGTTGACGACACACTCAAACCAGCCCATGCCACCGTGGCAGGTATCTCAGCATTTGCCTGTAACGGCCTGTTTCGGGCTCAGGAAGCTCCGCCGCGGCGCAGCGCCCCGCGCAGCAGATCTCGGCCCCGTCTGAGCGGCGCCCGARCGAGCCGAGCCCGTCAGGAAGAGCGGTAGGGCCCGCGGAGCCGCATGCGGCACAGAACCGAATAACCGGGACGAATAAAAAGCAGCAGTGCGCGGAGACGACGCCCCGGCGTAATAACGCGCAGCGTTCGTGACTGCGGCGYGAGGGAGCAGGAGGAAACGGGCTCTGAAGCCGACCGTGCGGCAGCTCCGAGGCCCGGCGGCCGCTCCGGGGCGAGGCAGTCGCGTACCTGGGTCCTCCCTGCGCAGCGCCCGCTCCAGCTGCCCCGCCTCCTTCTCCAGCGTGAGCGCCAGGGCGCGCAGCTTCCCGAAGAAGCCCCGCGACACGTCCATGGCTCTCAGGGAGGCGAGCGGCCGTTAACGGCCGCCGCGGAGCCGTTACCCGCTGCCGGCTTCGAACCTGCGCCGCCGCGCTCCCCATTGGGCGCCGCGGGGCCCCGCCCTCCCGGCCGCTCTCGCGAGACACGCGCGGCGCCCGCCCGCGGCCGGCGCCATCTTGTGCCGCTCGCCGGGCTGTGGYCGGGGGTCGCGGCGGAGTCGGTGAGTTGAAAGGGCCGAGGAGGCTCCCTGGGACCCCGCAGCAGCACGGAGGGCTGCGGGGCGCCCGTCGCCCTCACGACGGGGCCCAGGGAGCCACCCGCGGCGCCCCAGCGCTCGGGGTGCTGAGGGGGGCGAGGCGGCGGCCGTTTCCAGCCGCGCTCAAGCGCCTGGCGGTTGGAGCTGTAAGAGCTTCCCCAAAACCCTGTTAATGACTCTTAGTGTTGCTGGTTAGTGTTGCAGAGGATACGGGTTTCCTGCGAGGCTTATGCCGCCCACGTGAGAATGAGAGTGGGTAACGGGCTGTGTGAGACTGTGACTGGAAATCCTTAATTATGGGGAAAAGGTCATAATGAGAAGGCATATATAGATGGGAACTTGTACGTAGGTGAGTCTAGAAATACCCTCAATTTTAACAGCAGAGATAGATATTTGAGATAATAAGGAATACTGTTAATCTTCTGGATTTTTGATAACATACAGAGAGTAATTAAGTATCCGGGTAGGTAAGTGTAACTCTGGCTGAATGGGCATTTATGTTCTCCTCTCTGGTCACAGTTATACTGTCCACCACGCATAGTGGGTAGTTGTCAGCATCAGCTCCTGRTCTCTTAAGCTTTGTAGCTGCTAGAGAAGTGGTAGAGGAAGGAACGTGTGGAGATTTCCCGTTCTTTTACGCCCTCCTTGCCCCTGCCCCATTAATTTGTCCCCTTTTGTAATTTGCCCCTTCAAGATAATGAATATTTTATATCCTTTTGCTTTTATTTTGAGGTATAATGTTTTTAACAATAGCATTGCTCCGAAAGAGAATTCCTGGRAAACAATGGATTGGAAAATACCGGCGGCCGAGAGTGGTCACCCTTTCCATGAAGCAGGCCATGATCCGGCGGCTGGAGATTGAAGCAGAGAACGAGTACTGGCTGAGCCGCCCTTTCCTGACCCGGGAACAGGAATACAAGCACAACACGGAAGCGAGATGGGCCAAGTGGGAAGCCTTGAGAAACCAGCTGGCATCCAAGGTTCCCAAGCACAGATATATCAAGGATCATTTGGAGCACTTAAATGTGTCAAAGAAGTGGGCAGCTTGAATGCCGCAGGGAGGTTGTACTGGATGTGGTGATGGTGGGATCTGCGACGGGCCTGCTATGGTGGTTTTGTATTCGGTGCAACAGTGAAGGGTGGAAAACAAGCGAGACTTTCCCCGAAACTTTTCCTTTGCTGTGTGAAATCTTGCATTAAAAGCAGTCCTGCAAAACGCTGTTTTCTTGCTACTGGCTCACTGGAAAAAAGAGGTGTGTTGTGTGGTGCTCTGCCGGCTACTTTGCTTGTGAAACAATGCGAGGTACCAAGTGCTGTGATGGTGCACTAGATCTGGTGATGAAACTAGGCCTGTAGCTTCACTAATTTGTTTTTTAAAAGCTGGGAGAACATACTCTCAGAAGATTTCAGAAGATTTCAGAATATTTAAGGTTGGAAGGGACCTCTASAGATCATCTAGTCCAACCTTCCTGCTCAAGCAGGCACACCTAGAGCATGCGGCACAGGGTGGCATCCAGGCGGGTTTTGAAGACCTCCAGAGTAGGAGACTCCACAACCTCCCTGGGCAGCCTGTTCCACTGCTCTGTCACCCTAACAGTAAAGAAGTTGCTCCTCACCTGGAGACGGAACTTCTTATGCTTCAGTTTGTGGCCATTACCCCTCGTCCTATCGCTGGCCACCAGTGAGAACAGCCTGTCCCCTTCCTCCCTGCATTCTCCCTTCCTGAACTACTCTCGCTAGGTCAAAAGGGATTATCTGCTTGTACTGACAAAACAGCTTTTCCCTGTCCTTTCCAAAGGGAAAGGAGTGTGAACTGTGCAAGCTAAATCAATGTTTGGAACCCAACAGAAGCTATTTAATTATGTACTACCCACTTCATTAGGCTCAAGACTAGGCAAGGATCAGGATATGAGAGGCATTACAAAGTTATATGTGTATGAAGACATAACTAATGGAGGATTATAAAATGTTCCAGTTATTAAACCTGGAGGAAAAATGTTTAATTTAAATGCAGTGTAAGTTCCCGCACTCTCAGACGTGAATCCTCTAAAGGGAAACACAGGTGACTTTCTTCGGAGGTGCCGCCTGTTTCCTATATCATGCTTAAACCTGCCTGAAATAATAGCCTTTTTTTTTTTTTCTTTTTTGACTTTCCCTTGAGACTAAGTGACTAGAAAGATGTATTGAAAGCAAGTGTAACCCTCAGGTTGTTGCASCTAGAGTCAGAATGTGAAGGTCCTGTTATTTCCCCCACCAGACACAGAACACCTCCCATGTAGGTGTAGGCAGTTTCTCCCCCTCATCTATTCCCCACATGCAATCTAAGCAATCTGCAGCATATTTCACATACTTTTATTGAGTCAGTGTTGCATTCACTGATAAAATCACATGTCAACCCCTGTAATACTTTATTACTTCAGGAAAGAGGACATAAAATGGTACAACTTTTTCTTRAACAGGAATTGCTATTCAGAGGTGCATAAGCAGGTCTGAACACCAACGTAGCAAAGTTGGATTGCAACCTTTCTATGGTTACGAATGGCATAACAAAGTATTTGTGAGAAAGTTTAAGAGGAAGAAATTGCACAGTACAATTAAAAACATGAAGGAACTTCCAGGCAAAACAATGTGACTTTRCATTTAATTCCTTTATAAAAGCCCATTTTAAAAAGTTACTTCAAGTATYAAACTGTAAATGGCAACAGGTTTTCTATATGCACAGGAACATTCCTCTCTGCAGCATACAAAATACAGGAAGGGTGTCGTTATTACAGATTTGCCTTTTACACTTCAAACTTAACCACGGCTCGTTATAAGTTTACACATCGCAATTAAAAATAAGGATGTGGAAGCAGAACAGTGGAGATATGGCAATGAATGCAAAGGTCCATGGTTGCTGCTGGCAAATGCCTGCAGCGATAACCAGGTACGTTTAGTTCTGGTAGATTTAAAAAGGGGACTTAACAGTGGCACCATTGCCTATTTCCGCGGTATTTTCATGTTTTTCAGTATTTGCAGTCCAGAGGGATTTAAAGTTTCTTAAAAATACTCGAGCTGATGCAGCAGGAGAGGTTAGAGAGGAACACGCTAAGCAAGAACGTTAAACAGTGTCAACAAGGGAACCTGCATTCACCTCGGTGCTGCGGTTCCCATTATAGATGATCCCAAAATTCATCCCCAGCTTGGCAGCTCAGCGTGTGCTCTCCTTGTTGCAGGAGGAGGGGGAAGACAAGGGCAAAACCCCTAAAATCAATGGCTGCAACCTCGTAAACATCACACTTTACTACCTAAGGGAAACTAGATTCAAGTAAGGGCTGCAGAAAACCACAGTTTTAATCAGCATTAAAATTAACTGCCATTTGCATTTTCAGTACATTTAATGAAAGTTTCATGATTAAGAAAAAAGCATACAAAAAGTCTCTATATACAAAGTAAGTTGTCAGAAATGAGTGTAATAAATGTGTTCAGTATTATAATAAATAACTATATGCAGTTGCTGTCTTTGGTGCTGTTTAGGGATAACGATCCTCTTTACTTGCACACCTAACTATATTTTAGACATTATGAAAAAAATAAACCCAAAACATTCTTTTGCTGATCTGCATTTTCAACTAAAGTAACTGCTATTTGGAGCCTCTTTAAAATGTGTACCTGAATGCTTCACTTAGGTATAATTTTAGACAGGGCCTTCTGAGTATATASTGTGAATTTGAGAAGTWTTTTTTTAATAAATATACTCYAGATCTGGTAAATCTATGTCCGCAYATAGTGTGAATTTGGTAAGTATTTTTTTTAATATGCCTCGGATCTGGCTAATCTATGTCCGCTTTGTCTGCCATAGAAGCTGCTTCTTCCACTGCGAGCGCTGCTTTTGCTCTCCTCTTGGGGCTCTGCTGAGCTACGATGCGACCACATTTCATGTCATACTGAACAGGTGAAGATTTATTATAAAGTACTGAATGAAAATTTCAAAACCAAATGTTATTTACAATAAAGAAGAGTCACAGAGAATCAATCAAAGGAGGAGAACAAACAAACAAGCAAAAACTCAGAAGTTTAGGAAAACTGCAGCATCCTGAAAACATGCCCCGTTTCTACAACTTGTGTGCCCAAAGCAGCCTGGTACCTGTGCACGCCACAGCAAAGGGGCAGGTTTCACAAGGGCACTGCCTTAATTTCTATTCACATCATTAAGGCCAGGACTCCCTCTGGAATCCCCCTCTGGAAATTTAGTTCTCCAGGAAAGTCCTACTGTGTAACTAACTTGTGAGATGACAAATTTAGGATTCTAAGTCAGTTATGGCTGAGACTTCTACATATCTTTTCCCATAATATAATGGTTAGGTAGGAGCAGCAATCATGGCCATCGAGTCTGCCAAGGATTCTGTTGAATAAGAGGAAAAGGAAGCATTAGCTGAGGCTTCTGGTTTCAATTATTCTTTCCCAATTACCTATCTCCTTGCCTCATCCACAGCAGGACTATCTCATCCCCTTAAGACACTTCATAAATCTTGAAGAGCAATTTTCACACTGGAATCTTGTGCTGTGTGATGCTTCTCTCCTCACACTGGCAGCTTATAGTCAATAAGGGGAGAAGGGTGCTGTGCTGCGGGCATGGGGACTATTTTATTAAGAATAGTATTTTTAGTAAGAAAAACTGAAGCACAATTTCTGATTGCGGCCAATGACAACTATCCCAAAATAACCACAGTAACTGCAAAACTATTTCTGTCTTGCAAGAGTAATTATTTTGAGGGATGAATGTGTAAGAACTGTTACTTCTTAGSGACAATCTCATCATTTTCAGGACTTGCTGACAGACAGCAGACAGGTTCAGGCAAACACCAAAGCCAACTGTTCACGACCCCATATGCTCGACCACACACTTTTTGGGATCTTTTTCCCTGGCCAGAACTGCTCTTCTCACTGCACTACTGGGAAGTGTGAGCAGTTTGGCGCCCACGGGCCTGAGCCAAAGGGCTCCTGAAGGGGAGAAGGGCTGAGGGTGGAAGGTCACATCTGAATCACTTCAGTGCTTCCTTTTTGGCAAAGAGGCCTCTCAGCAAKACCTGCTTTTACACCAAGAGCAGCTCCTGCCTCCAGAGCAGCCCGGCACACTGCTCTCCTGCTGTTCTCATCTGACACTACAGAAAAATCTGGGATAAAATATAGTATTAGTGATCCACATAAAGATGTCACAAACACCAGCTCTTGAAGAAAAGCCACACACACACAAATGGCCATCAGATACTCCCCCAGAACTGGTTCCAGAAGCCCACAGCCTGCTGGAGAGCAACRCAGGGATTCAGCCCAGGCCATTTCTGTGCAGTAATTCCTGCAGATTCATTGTACTCAAGACACCAAACGTCACGCTGACACTCGCCTGCAGTAGCTGTGTATTCACATTAGCATGTTGAGCATTTCAGGTCAGAAAACAAAGTCAGCAGAGGCTGTCCTGCTGAATCAGTGAGATTTCCCATTTTAGAGAAACAGATTCTACTTCTAGTTCTGCTAGATAACGATACTGCACGTATTTGTTTGCCAGGCAATGAAATAAAACACGGATGATGTCCAGACCTCCCCACCTCCCTTGCAATTCTGCCAGTGTTTGACACTTCAAATGGCAGTCTGGGGTTTTTTTTTGGCTAATCCATTCTCTCCTTACCAGCTCAACACATCAGCATTGCTCACAGCTTGCTTTCACATAAGCACATTCATCTGACATTTGAGGGGAAAAAAATGAAACTTTCAGATTACTCTGCAGCTATTGATTTTTGTAAGTTTATAAATTAGGAAATACAATATTTCTTGTACAATGTCTGATGAGACATTTTGCAACTATTATAGAACAGGCAGGTCTGAACCATCAATACCATCTCAAGAAGATCCCAGACAAAATACTGGCTTCATACCTTAAAGTTTACTTGTTACCTTCATATCTCCACCATAAACACACTGGACTTAAGCAGCAGCCAGTCTGGGAGAGAAAGCGGAGAGGTTCTCTTTGTGCTGAGCACCAGCTCAGCGGCCACCCTCAGTCTGCATCAAAATGACCTGATGCTGTGACGGGGACCTGCTAAACTTCAGACAAGCTTTGGGTGGGAATACAGTATTTTTCACTTCTGCTAGGTACAAAATACCACCCCAAGATGAACTAGCAGGCTTCTCTCCAGAGGAGCAGGAAAGAAAAATGTTGTTTGCTGGAGGTTTTGAACTTAGGATAGACTTTATTCCTCGCATAGGAAACACACATTTTGCCTTTTGCAAACTGGGTACATCACTGCACAACGCACTCATCTTCAGCAATTTCCGTCCGTGTCATTGAGCCTTGGATAGTGGCAGACAAAAGCATACAAAGTTTCAGTGTGTTAACACAAATGTAGGATTGAACACTGTTTTTCTCATAAGTACTTGAAATACATTTAAATGGTAATTTAGAACCATTAAAAACTTGTGCCTTTATTAAAAAGATAAAACAAAAGTATAAAACAGTATTTATAAGCCATCAAGAGTCCCATATAAAAAGCAGTACTCTTCCAGTTCCATTTTCTAACAACACAAAACTGCAATAAGATTTTTCTCAGGGGTACTTTGCTCTTTTCTTACTGCCCCATACAGAATACAACAGACATTAACAGAAAATGAAATAGTTTGTTAGTTCCTTTTTGGATTGGCATTTTTTTGTATGCTGATAGGCAATTGCTGGAAAGTAACAATCCATGCTTTTTCAAGTAAAAGAAAGTTCACCTTTTTTGAGTTATATTCTTGATATGGTTAAATAAATCAAGTTAAGATGACGAGGGTGCTCAATTCTGAAGCAAAAAAAAAAAAAAAAAAAAAAAAAAGCAACACTCAAGTAAAGCAGCTTTTACCTGGCTGACATTGCACTGCTCCGGAGCACGGCTGGTTCAAGCAGCCCTCAGTCCTCAAAACACCTGGATCATGGGGTCGGCTGGTGAAGAGGAAGAGGAGAGACCACATCATCCAGCCCTTTACTCCTCACCTGCTGTTGCAGCTATGCAGAGTTGCACTCCAGGCTCCGCAGCCCTGCTTCATGTTGTGTTTTCCTTTTTCCCTTTTTTCCCCCCCTTTCTGTGCCCGTTCTGTTTCCTTCTGTAGGAGATGTGCTATGGAAGTGACTTCTGCAGCGTGCAAGGTGGGAGGTTTGCCCGTGGGGACGGGGCTCTCGCAGATCTGCCTACCCCAACCACCGCAGCGCGACAGAAATGCATAGTTCCCACTCTGGACCTTGTGCATCCAAGCAGGGCACTTCAGGATYTGGCCCTTTGGTAGCAGTATGTAGCTCAGTGTGCATCAAATGCACATAAAGAATCTTAAGGCATCTGTCTTACTTCCCTGCTCTGCAGTAGTGCTGACAAGAATCCATTACACTGTGCAGAAACTTGAGTTTCTTGTGTCTTCCCAAGATGTTCATGTTCCTATTTTTTAACTGATCAACTTCTTCCAAACAAAATTAAGTAATATTCAAGCTCAAAATGTGTTGCACAAGCCTAATGGGGAGAAAAAAAAGAAGTAATCAGTGGAATGGCACCACCTGCTTTGAAAATACAGACCACACTGTATCGTAAGAAGGGACTTAGTTGATAAAACATGCATAATTTAAAGATTCCCGATTAAGGACAGCAGTTAAAGTAACTTCAGTGCATAGTTATTGACCTTCTAGGAATCAGATTTTTTTTAAACCTTTTCTAACGCTTTAGAAGATTATTTGCACTAAGAATGTCAGCCCAGTCACTTCTACTGGCTTGAAGTTAAAATCTCTGCTATACCTGATTGGCGAGAACTGCTCGTTCATTTTGCACTGATTTGCCAGATTTATGTCAGTGATAACTTTTACTGCTCCTGATGCACGTTACACACGTAATATTGAAAAATACATCTTTCAGTCAGTTGATGGAAAATGCATGGAATGTGTGTTTGGGATCTCATATCTTTTGCAARGTTGTTTGTAGCTGCAGAGGGACTGGAATTAATGATCCAGGTTACAGAAATGGATCAAATCCACCAGAACAGCAAAAATGCAGATGCTACTGTTATTTTACACCAAACATAGGAAAATCTTGTGCCGTAGGTTCAATTATGCATCATTTACTGTTTCTTAGAACTACATCATTTTGGGAAAGTCCTAAACATGGCATGTGATCTTGGCTTCTGCAATTTGGTCTGACTTTGGAAAGAGAGGGAGAAGAGAAAGGAAATCTCAAGCTGTTACTGGGCCAGGCCAGTCACTTATGCCCACTCCAAGTCAGTGGAGAGAAGGTTTAAGCCCTTTCTGTATTAACCCTGTCAAAGGCTGTTGGAATGAACTGGTCTCAGAAGGTATTTTTTCTTTCTGTGAAGAGTGGAAAAGCCTTTGCAAGGCTGTTTAAATCAGTTTTAACATAGACAGTGGCCGAAAGAAATCCCTTTTCTTGGACACTCATTTATACAAGGTGTTAAAAAGAAGGGAGGAGGAAGAACTCACCTTGTTTATTCATGCCATAGCTCTCATGCTGAGGTTTTGTAAAAATACCCCTAASTTGTCTAATTTTGGTTTTGTTAGAGTTTACACTGATTAATATGACCAATACCTTTGCAAACATCATGCCACCCTCYGCAAAAGCCTTCGAGACAGACTCTTCTTGGAAAAGACTCTATGGCAATAGGCTTACTTTAAAATATTTAGCATATACAAGTGATCCTAAAATGACTGAGCTCCCCAAACTCAAATGCAGTGTTTTCTTTCCAAAGAAAAAAGCACTTCCTTGCAACGTGCATCCATCTCTCATTTTGGGCTATACTTATGTATACTTATGTCAGGACATTAGGAGTCACAAAGATACATTTCCTAATATGGGTCTTTTATATTGCCTTATATTTTTTTTTTTAAGTCAAAAAAGTACCAAAAAAAAAAAAAAAAAGAGAGGGAAAAGACTGCAATATGCTAGCTAGTTATCCAAATATATATCCATGAAATATGCTAGCTAGTTATCCAAATATAATCTTTTGCTCTTTCAGAAATAAAATAATAGTGGAGGTTCCTAAACTCACCACATTGTGAAGTAAGAGAAGTCTAATTTAGTCATTAGAAGTACTCTAAGGGAAGTTTTCCTGCTCTCACTGAATTTCCTAAATGCCAAGCAGGGAGAGTTCTGCATGGAAGCTCTCCCAGAAGGAAGATCACTGTCCATTCCAGGTGTGACTAAGTAGCCTGTGTGCAGACACTGCTCCAGGAATTTATTTGCTGATCTCTCTTTTCTCATGAGCACACATTTTTTCTTAATGTATAAGATGAGAAATGGCAGGTCAATATATGTTTTTTAAAAATATGGTTAAGGAGCTGTTCCTTGAAAGAGTATCAAGATTTCACCTGGAATTACCTCGYTAGCAGATTACAGTCTTTCCACCGGTCAGGTAACAAATACTACACTACCCACTTTCCTCTAGTGACTGCATTAGACTGACTCACCCCASGTCAAGCCAACCCGTTAGCTGCTTTTCAGCTTTACCCTCATTCTTGTCTTCCTGGATAACCACTTGGAAGCTTATGACTTTTTTACTACTCATCCACTGAGCATTAGAGGACGTCTCTGTGTTCCGTGACCTGTGCCTTTGGGACCTCAGGATGCCTTAAGTTTACTGACATGCATACAGAAAGAGTCATCAATTAGTTGGTCTTACCTGTTTCTCACTGAGATGGTTGGTTAGTAATAAACTGAGATCAGCTTTCCAATGAAACTATAATATGCTTTTTTGTACCTAAAATGTGAGAGAAGCTCAATTATGTGTTTTTGCAGACTTGTACAACAAATAGTAAAGACGTGTGAATGACTTCAGGAACTATGATAGGTAGTTTGTGCCTGAACACAACAGTAGTGCTGTGTCTGTTGCACAGAAATATTTTCCTCCCCTTAATCCAACATCTAAAAATCTAAAATACCTCAGAACAAGAACTAACCCAGAATTCTCTATCCATTACCTTAGGGTAATAAACCATTTTGGATCAGATCCTGACACACAAGTCAGCCTTAACGTATAAAGGTGCTGACTTGATTCWATTTAACAAAATCTCCTCTGCTAAACCTCAATCAATTCCAACGGATTTTTTTTTTAGGCTTAGTAAAAGGAAAACAAAACGGGAAGAGGAGAAATGAAATGGTGCTGGCTACCTGATTTAACATTTTCCTCTTCGGGGCCGCTTTCTACCCACTGGCAGTCAGTGGTCAGCAATCGATTCTGTGACTCGCTGAGCGGTCGAGCAGGGAAGGGCTGGCTGGCTCCAGAGCTGAAAAATAAGCAAAGCCAACAGATATTCTGCAATAGCAGCAGCCAATGGACAGAGTTAAGCCCTTAGGTGACGTGTTACTTGTAGTTCTAATAGACTAGAAGACAAGAGATGGGCTACTGAGAATGCTACTGCCACACGGTTTAAATAGGATTAGTTGTTTAAAAAGCACAACTAGTTTCAACTAGTACTGTCTGGGCAGCAGGACCTAACGCTGTCTCATCCCATCAGTAAAATCTGCTGCACGTCTTTTTAAGGCCCCAGAACATTCTGCAGTTTGTGGAGTCCTACTCTTGGGTGAATTTTACAGGCTCTGCTGCTGTTGCAGCAACACTTGTGACTCGCCTTTCAGCCCCATAACACCCGACAACCCAGGTGTCCTGGCTGTCAGCAATGACCTTCAGCTGCAGAGTCACCAAGCTAAACAGAAGATTTCTAAGCTGGCTGTGTAAACATCTCCAGAAGTTTTTCATACTAGTACACAAAATAGTAGTTTCTGAAGCAAGAAAATGCACTTTTGTCCTTAATCTCCTTTTTTTTTTTTTTTTCTTTTTTGGATCATTATTCACTGTTCCCTTGAGCTTTTACATTGTCGCTTTTCTCTCTGGGAAAAAAAAGCAATCAGCTCCAAGTCCAAAGAGAAAAATACGCAGCAAGCTCTTTGTTTTCTCTATTAATTTGTTTTCTATGAATCACAATCTTAGCTTTAGATAAAAAAAAAAAAAGCAGCAGCCTTTCTGAGTTAAGATAACCCTGGGTTAGAACTGATTCACCCCATGGTTCTCTGAAGGCTCACAACCCCCCTCTGAACCTGATAAGAAGTACAAAGAATTTTAAAAATAATCCTGAAACTACTTCTCTGAATGAAATACTAAGCAATAGAAGACTAACATTTTAAATGCTCCAGTTACCTTTTGGCAGGTTCATTTTGGCTCGAGACAGTAAGTTGCTCTGGATCCATAATCACCAAACGAGTGGGAAAGTTACACCCATCGCCCAAACTAAACCAGAAACAAAGATTGGAACAAAGATTTAAATCATTGTCTGCAGTTGACCTGAATGAACTGAACAAGCTCCTGTGCAAAAGGCAAATGCTTCAGGCCCAAATCAACAGTTGAGTGCAGCACTGAGCCCCAGATTTGAGSAAGACAGTTCTCCTAAGCCTCATGATCAGCTGATTAGATTTTGCAACTCCTTCCCTGTCCTYCAGGATGGGCTCCTGAGCACAGTGTTGGCCTACGTGTTTCAGAAAGAACACCCTGATGCTCAACATGCAGCCTGAGTCTTGCCCCAACCCCCTGGGCACAGGTAGTCAGATGATCCAATATTTACACACCTGCAYGCTCTATTGCAAGTAATATTCTGGTGACCAGGTGTCATTTCAATTTAGTTAAGCCTTCCTTTAAAGCAAGTCTAATCAAGCTAAAATATTTTGGGAAGCAGACGGATCCATCTCCAGCCCAGTGCTGCTTCACCAACCTGGACCATCTGTGACATCCCTAGCAGTGGTTCAGCTGAGGGGTTTTAAAGGCCATAGTTTCCATCATACCAGAAAACCTTTCTGTACTACTGCACTACTGCTTATTTACACACACTTTTATCAGAAGGCTTCCRATAAAATGTGTGACCGCAAAGGGAAAGCTGTCAAGTATTTTGGGTTGAAGGAGAGAGTGTTTCTAGACTTGTCCTTTTCAGTGCAGGTGACGTTCAAGCATTTTGGCCTCCTCTCTGTTGCCAATTGCTGCTCTATAATCAGACATTAATACTACCAACAAAACATGTCCAATCTTCAAAATACATTTTTCAAAAGTTTCTAAAATTTTGTTTTTAAAAGGCCCCTGTCAATGTGGCTCTTGCCTTTGAATGCAAACCCTGTACAGAATTTGCTCAGTTGTCTCCTTCACGTTTCCCACAGCACTCTTCAGTGTGCAGGATTTAYAAGCAGGCTTCTCAGTTGTGCTTTAACGCGGGGAGAGAGGGAAGTGAGACAGGAGTCCTGGAACCAAACTATTCCCCAATCGATTCCCATTCAGACTGAATACCTGGTAAAAATAGGGATGAGCCAATACTTCTTCTCATCTCCAAAAACCTCCCTCAGATTTTTGCTGCATCCGAGAGAAAAGCCGTTTTTATCTGGGCCATTGCGAAACGTGGGTGCACGGAATGTCTCTGTAGAAGAAACAGCAACATTTGTAAAGGGATGAGCCTGGGGAAAGGGGAATAAACACACTCAGATATTTCTATCGTGAAAACAGTGTTTGGTAAACCGGGGTCACCTGGATCCCTATTATGGAAAAATTGTAACAGTCACCTGGAGCAATAAGCACTAAAAAATACACAGTGCCTGTGACAAAACTGACCTTAACGGGTAAAAAAGCTCACCCAGGAGGAATCCTATAATGTCAACCTATACATTTACCATAATGTTTGAGCCAGGGCTAAGTGCCATCGACATGCAAGACACCACATCTCTGGTCCTTAGTGTCTGGCTCCTTCTTTGGCCTGGGCATGTTCTGGAGCGGAAGAAACACTCCTTGGCACAAGCAATTTAGCACAGGGTTTATTGTACCACAGTCCACACAGGACAGCTTCTTCCACTACTGCCAAGGTCTGAGGGTGAATTAAGGGCATTTCAGAGAAAGATGAGATTTATTATGTTATTAGAAACACAGAAACACCCAAACAATGTATTTCTCTAGTCAGTCTGGTTATACGCTGCTGATCAAGAACTGAGAAGACTGACAGTCCTCTTCAGAGGAACAGCTCATCTTTTCCCACTCCTGATCAAAAAAAAAAGGGAATATAATACCCAGTTATGCTGACAGGAGCATCGCTGACTTTCGGGCAGGGAACATGCTGAAAGTTCCTTCAAAGCACAAGGGGCTTGTGAATATTCCCTAGCTGTAGATGCATCAAAACAAAAAGATTCAAACTACCCTCCCATTAAGCGATCAAGAAAATGGTCTTTTCCCATCAAAATTTTCTGGCAGGCTGAAATTCACTTTCAACCAACCATGTATTCTAGGGGATGGAGAACTATGTTCCACTGAAAACTGTAAGATTTTGACTTCTTAAATTGTGGGGAAAAAAAAAAACCACACCAAAACATGTTCAAAAACGTTTTAGCAGGAACTTTGGGTATTTTTACTAATGCTTTAGTAAATTTAACTTGCTTATTTGGTTAACATAATGCCTTTTAGAAGAGGAGCAAGAATTACTGGCATCTCTTACTCTTGTATTATTTAGGAAATGTGCATCAGTGATTCCATTTTTATTGCAGTGCTTTTACAAGTGCTTGCTGGTGGCAGGACCCATCAGGCTGAGGAAGCCTCTTTGGGATTTGGTTCAAACCCCAAACATTGACACTATTTAGAGTAGTGTGTCTATCCGGGTTGGGGCCATCCAGCTAGGGAAAGCATTCCAACAGGGTAGGTGGCAAGCAGAACTGTTAGATACTTAACACTGCATAAACACAACAGAAATRCACGGGGCTTCAGGGATCTCAAAAYACACACTGAAGAAATCCACATCCATCACCAATCTACAGGCTTGGCTCCAGCAGAGAACCCCTTGCTGAAATTTTGTTCTTCCACGTGCCCTGCAACCAAGGATGTTTCATCCACAGCTGCTTTCACCCCAGATGTTCCTTACTGTACAACATTTTAAAACATGTCCTTAAATGTGACGGTGCATCCTGCAGGCCTCACATTCGCAGCGACTTGTCCACTTTGGGGACAAGGAAGAGGTCCACACTGCCGGTGACTGACCTATGGTCGATCTGTTTTTGCCAACTAGCCAGCAGTGGTAGCTGAAGAGTGACAAAATGCTGATGAAGAACATGGCTGCCACAAAGAAAAGGAAAAGGACATGGAACTTTGCATGGGTATCTGGCAATTCATTCTGGGGAGAAAGAGAAAAAAAGAGATTAACAGGTTAAGGCTTTTTAGCAACTGATGCAGGATTATGACTATTTCCTTCCATACCTATTCTGCTATAGCTCTTTGCACAGTGAAAAGCAGCACAGATAGGGCTCCCCTTCCATGTGACAGGAGACTGGTGAACAAGGGTAAYGAGGGCCGACAGGCACCCCGTCTGAACTGAGCAGCCTGAGTTTACACATTCCTATGTTTGACATCACTGTGTACAATTCATATCCCAGCCCGGTTATTTTTTGAATTCCCAGCAGTGGGCAAGAAAATAAATCTCCTTACTAAAAAATCTTAACTCTGCAGCCTCAGCCAAAGAGATGCAAGGAGAGCTTGTCCAAAATCACTGTTTTTGYGGAGGAGAAAAAGCAACGAGAACTTTGAAACCCTTTGCTGCAAGGTGTCACTGACCAGTATAACCTGCTTTTGCAGTGGTGCAAGGAAGGAGAAAGGGAATCACCCGGGTCACACTGGGTTTCCAAGACTGAACCATTTATTAGATGAGACCAGTGGCCTGGGACTGATCTGCCTTTTGAGGAGCTCGCAGCTTTGGACAACACCCAGCAGGTAGTAGCAGAACAACCTGTCACAGTAGCAGAACAACCAGGCAAGAGATTTTCACCAGAGGATCTACATGAAAAAACACGTTTTCAGCACAACCACCATATAAAAAATAACTTCCTCACCACATGTGGGGGTCAATTCCACTCCCAAACCCAGCTATTTTTAGGATTGCACTTTCAAGAGGCCGCTGTAATTTGCAGCAATGACTATTCCTGCTCTGTATGCTCAAAACCGTGATACTTTTAAGCAACTGACCTTTTGCAGCCTTAGGAAAGTAGAGAGGCTATTTTTATTCAGCATTATACTTAGCATCATTGCCATTTCTTTTTCCATTATCTCATCCTATAAACCCACTTATCTGAGGCTGGTATCTCTGTCTGAAATGTGTTTTGATAAAAATCAAGTACACAGCCTTATCAATAGCTCCTTACACAGCCTACATTCTACGGGGAACACAGATTACAAGACTCCCTCCTTCCAGTTATGCCGTAAACAGCTATCACAAATGAGCGGATTACACAAATTACAGCAGGAACATTGTTTAAATAATGACATCAATATTGGGTTTTACCTTGGGACAATTCTCTGCAGATTTCCTGCGGCAAAGCTTTGCGCAAACAAAGACAATTTATTAAACACTAATACTGCAGCAAGACAAAGGGGGTGGAAACACAGCACGGGGGGTGTGGAGGGAGGGACGGGGGTGCACACATGCCCCGGCGCGCAGGGTCCCAGCGGCCGCCGGAGGCCTCGGCCCCGCTCTGCGGGAGAGGGAGGCGAAGGGACCCAGGGAGCGCCAGGAGCCGCTGCTTTCAGAGAATCCCAGAATCCTTAAAGTTGGAAGGGACCTCTGGAGATCACCCAGTGCAACCCCCTGCTCCAGMAGGGACACCCAGAGCACGGGGCACAGGGCGGCAGCCAGGCGGCTTTGGAAGATCTCCAGAGAAGGAGACTCCACAGCCTCCCTGGGCAGCCTCTTCCAGGGCTCTGGCACCCTCACTACTTTCTTCCTCTCCCCCCCATCACAAGTAAATTTTATGTGAATATTGGATATGGCATAAACCACTAGGAAAAACTTGGAATGGCCAAGAGGTGTACAGCAGGGGTTTACAAATTACAAAATCTTTTCGACTTCGATCTATTATCACTAGAGAGAGACACTTTCAGTCAAGACAAAAATATGTTCCCATTAGTTGCTTAATTTTCTTTGTTAACGAAAAAGATCCCACAAATATAGGACTGTTTTTTTCTTGCCAATATTCTTCAACATTGAGATTTGTGTATGAGATATTCACATCTGAAATCAAACCGGCACTTAAGAAAATCAAGGAAGAAAGGAACCTCTACCTCTAAGAGGAAAGCTTGGTTTAAATTAGATTTTAAATTCTAAACTTCATGTTTAAACAGTTAGATTAGCAACCTTAGCTGACATGCTAACACTTAACAAATATGTTTTTAGATAAAATGCCTGGCTTTTAAGTTCTATCAAGCTGAGCAGAAGCCCTAGGGAGAGCCTGAGCTCTTAACACAGAGCCTGGCAAACAAACAGGAGCAGCGTTTTCCAGAATGCTGGCCCCCATCGGATCATTCCAGAGAAAACCCTGACAGCAGCGTCCCGCTCTCTGAAGTGGCATCATAGTTCATGTTCCTTAGCTACTCCTTTCTTTCTGGATATAGTTTTATTTTGACAACTTCTCGAACAGCCCCTCTTCGCCACCCTAAGGACATCAGGTGTTTTGTGGCTGCTGGAAGTCAAGGGTAGCAAGAACACAGGCCAGTTGTTGCTTATTCCTGGCCTTCCTGGGAAAGGAATAAGGTAAAACTGCCTGGCCTTCCTGGAAAAAGCACCGAGACTTTCCCTGCTTCAGAGCACAAGGCAGTTTTCCTGGGAAACATGATTTCCACAATATAATTTTTTAACTTCTTGCTAGTGTAGATAACACCCAAGAAGTCAGGCTAGCGCATGCTAGAGCAGAGCCTGCAGTTTACACAAAAAGAATTAAAGTTCATTAATTGAAGTTTCAGGCATTTCACTTTCTAACTGCAAAGACCACACAAAACTGGAACCYAGAACTCTTCTAAAACACTAAAAAATGTACAGGGCTCTTTTGTAGATGCTTATTCAAACAAAATAGTCCTCTGTAAAGGAAGCTCAGGGTAGCTGATTTGGAGATGCAACAGCTTAGCCTTTGTGCAAGCAGATGCCACACAAGTGGTAACAACTATTTCCCTTGGCCATTTTAAGTTATTATACAAAAAACACATTATACAAAAAGTTCTTGAATGACAGTTGGGGACCTCAAGTAAAAACGAAYAAAACAAAATTAAACAAAATTTGGGCTGCTTAGCACACATAAGACTGAAGACAGCCACTACTGTGAATGGGGGCTCATTTTTAGCAGTTTGGTTTAGCTTGAGTCTAGAGAAACCTCAGAACATCTGGTCCATGTTCTTCTGTATCCTGTACCAAAGGACCAGGTTGTAGCCGAGGACCTGGAATTGCGTTCTCAAAGTACAAGCAGTTCTTCAGGAGCCTGTGCCATTTGCCACACAGCACACAGCACATCCTTGAGTGGTCTATACTGAGAACTGCTAAAATAATTTAGAGGACACTGAAAAACGCTGGAAAATATAAATTTCTCAAGTGGGAGGAAACAGAGCAAGAACGACAGTGGATACAAATATGCCCTGGAAAGTGCTAATGTGCACTASGGCACCAAGGACTGTGATTCTGTGGCTGGGCACATAGCCAGGGCTGGTGTTTTTGTCAAACACATTTTGTTAAACTGAGCTTTTATCACCTCATCTCTGACAACAGCCCAGGTGGAAATGAAACCTTCATGAATATAGGACCAGGAGTCATGAAAAAGGAGTCGTTCACATTCCCCTGATCTACAAAATGGCTTTTGACACCCACATCAGAGTATAAGCCTGGGGCAAACGCTGGCAGGGAGCACAGCTGCCCTYGGAAAGAGCCAATATCGTGCAGGGAAAAAGTTTCCCTTCAACAAAASATAGCTGTGCACCTCTCACAATGTTTGCAAGTATCTGCATTTCACTGCATCTACATACAAGCCTGCTGCTGTAGCGGGCAGAAAGCTGGTTATGAGCAATGCAGGAAAGCAGCCTGCAGCGAGCAGGCGGCAGCAGCAGCTGCGCTAGTCCCGACTCAGCTGCAAAGAGGAGCCTTGAGGACTCGACTCTGCATCATGAGCACTTGCCTAGGAGAGCTTCTGCGCCCTGTCATCATGCTCAGTGTTGCCAGCCTGCACCACTGTGGCACTGCTGCCTCTCTCTGGAAGTCTGCGTGGGTGGGACTGCTATAAGATCATAGCTACTACARTTAGCTGGGTGGAACAAGTGATTTGAACAGGTGAGTTAGAGGTCTATTCTCATTTTAAGACCACGGCATCACAAAATTTTGTTTTGGAAGTAAYTGGAAAATTAAAGCAACCAGTGTGAGTGCACAACTAAGTTGTCTACTGTCATATTCCAAAAGCAGCCCATTCTTGCAGGAAGCATTTAAGCAAATRAATTATTTTAAAATAAAAACATCCTCTTAAGTTTACTTCCTCTGCTCAAGGGTCCACTTCAACATTATGTCCAATGGACTTTGGGATGGGCTTGCTATAAATGCTGGTATTAAATGCTCCTCGTGGTCAGTTGTTTCATTGCAGTTGCACTACTGAAGTGAGGGGACAAGCAAATTGATCTTCTCTGCTCAGGACCTGACTGGTCAATAGGTAGGAGCACATCTACAGTTTCATCAGAAATTGCACACAAAGCACTGGAAAGCAGCCAGGCAGATGTCTAGGAGCAACACATTCACAAATTAAAAAATTAACCATTTACAGTCAAGGAAGACTGAACAGCAGAATCAGACCATTTCATTTGGGAAATACATGAAGCCACAGCTACGATGGATAAAGACATCTATAACTTTCCTCTCAGGTGATGCTGCAAGCTCAGTTCCCACCGAGCTCTGTGCTCTCCAGTGACAGGCAGCTAAACAGAACTGAGGGACTGYGACACAGCCCCTGGGCAAGGCAGACCCGCAGGCTTAGATGAACACAAACACAATGAACTTTCTGCACCTTTCCCCTTACCTGTCTAATGAGAACTGTTTCAAAATACAGCTATTCTGAATACGTCAYGAAGCTTCTCTAACCCTGAACTGGCAAAATCTTTTTGTTCCAGTAATGATTATACCTATAGCTGTAGATGATTTCTGCTTTTCATGGTGATTCAAAGAGCAGCCGGCATCTAAGACATATACGCTATAATTAACTTTAAAAGATGTGAAGGACAGCCTGCCACCCACAGTGATTTTTTCCGTGCTAGTTAATATAAATTGGTTAAGAAAATTAAGAGAAGACTCCTTTGTCTGAAAAGACAAGGAGAAAGAGTAGAAGGTTTCAGAGAGGAAAGGGAATGACACCAGAAGACACTCTACTCAGTCTGAAACATAATTAGAACAAAACTGATAGGAGGAACAACACTGATGTACAAGGATGTTTGTACTTCACATACATATATCTTTCTAGAGATAACAGAATAAACATGTACAGGCCATTTAACAACTGGTAATAGCTGCAAAGAAGATGAATATTTTAATATCTTAATATTCATATCAGATCAATAAAACCCACTAACATGAAGCTCAAATATTTGTATGTAGGAATATTACATTGGAGGTTGCAAATTCCCAAGTTCATCTGCCTTAGCTGATAGAAGAGTATCCATAAGGAGGTTTAAGAAGATACAGAATTGTTATTTTTATCTGACATTTTTTCTTTTTTTTTATAAACACACATATATATGTAATTGTTTAATATAGCCTGTTCTCTCTCTCTATCTGCTTATCTATATCCAGAAGCTTAAAAACGCCACAAAACTGAGCTGTGCCACTCTCTTTTGATGGAGCAGAGAAATTCCAGTGTCCTCACTGGACCTTCCTTTCCCAATTACTCATCCAGGCCAGTGTAATACATTTAATTCATTAAAATTCAGAAGGTTCTCCTGCTTCAGTCACCTTGATTGATGCTGCTCATGGCAATGAACTATGAAACAGTCAATGGTGAGTGACAACATGCTGATGTAGCTTTCAGTAACACATGCAAGATTAAACAAACAAACAAAAAAAGTCTTAGAACTTACTGTCCAGAACTTTATGAAGTACTGCAAGACGGTAGCAGCAACAAACAAACAGTACAGTAAGGAATACATTAAAAACAGCAGAAAGAATTTGTAGTTAGAAAATCCCACACAATTATTCACCCTAGAAGGAGGGGAAAGAGAAAGAGGTTATTATGATACAAAATAAATAAATACACAAAACCAACCCCCCCAAAACAATACATTCAGCTGTATTTTGCAGAGCATCATAACACTGTGCATGGTGTTAGCAGCACGTCCAAAACTGGCTGGTCCTAGAAACATTTTAGGCACCCTTTTAAGCAAAGTTTCCTCCTGCAGGCCAAGTGATCTTGGCCCTGCCATAAATTCTGGCCCCACAAGAAGTTCTATAGGACAAGACATGAGCTAGCAATGTGTATGATACACACAGCCTGTATAGGAAGCTCCTTAAACTCTAGGATCTAACTGAAATACTTACTGAAGACAATACAAGTCTCCTCTGCTGTGGATCTAGTATTGGAGAACTGGATTTCACAGTGCAGTAGGAACTTTCTCTCCTGATAATAACACCAAACTAACCAAAATAAATGCCATTTTCCATAGGTCTCATTAACTGTTTCTCTGTTTAAGGAGAGCATGATCTGTGTCACTGGGTCTACAATTCTAAGTTGCAATATACATTAGGAAAAAAAAAAGATATTTACATATATCCAAACCTTTTCTTGATGTAAATCAAAAATCCTATGAAAATCAAGTTTTATTTAAAATTTACACATGTGAAGCAGCATGTAGGATCATGTTTATGACTATTACACTGATCTGGTTTTTATTTTCCCGAACTTACCATGGACAGTGATGGTCCATTTTTAGCACACATCTGAAAGCGAAAGGAGACAATTTCCAGTCAGTTAAAGCAAAAAATAGAATTCCTTTCTAGGACACATGCTTTTAGTTTCTAAAGGATTTTTAAAAAAATTATTCCCCCCATTATGCCAAGTTTCCATATTACAGAAGCCATCCTCTCACTGAAAAGGATGAAGCGAGATTCAGAAGAATCAGGATGAGCTTCAAAACTCAGCAAGAGGGGAATTACTGAGTAACAACTACCACATGACATTCGTAGTTCACTACACCACAGCAGTCTTACAAGCTCATTGAGAGAAAACAAACCCTGAAACAAACCCTCTGAACAGTGTGAATAAGGTTCTTTAGCCTCGCATTCATTTCAGCTAAGTCCACCTTAGGGCTACTTTTGCTACCTGTTAGTTGACTGGGTTTTTTTAAGAGTTCATTGAGGAAAAGAAAAGCAGAGTGGGCAATCGGAATAGCGCATTTACACTTGGCTATAGTGTAAGGACAGTGGCTAGTCATTTCAGACAGACTTTCACTGTATTTCTTCATAAATTTGATTTTAGCCAAAATATGTTTACTTCTTTAGTTAGCTGGACTTCCTTGAGCTCAGCCTACTGAAGTCTCACTCACAGACTCTGTCTTCAGTGCCCTACAGATTTCTTTGATGGCTCAAAATCAGACTAATGTCTAATACCTGTAATTCCCCTGCAACTCTTTGAARTAAAGAGTTTAATCAGTACTGGTAGCAAATGTGTGTTTCAAAGCTGGAGAAGCAATACACAGTAAAATAAAGCTCTATAATAAGCATTTGCTGGTGCTGGTATCTCAGATTTCACTTTAATTTCAGTCACTGATCCTTTTCTTATATATGCATTRTTTTATAAAGGTATAAACACATTTCCTATCAAATTCTTCCACTTCAGTCCATGGAACTGCAACAGTAATAATACTGCACCCACAGGAGGAACTCTGTTCTGGTACTGAGGTACTGAAGGGCTGGGAGTGGCACAAATGGTAAAATCAGCTTGTGTGCAAGGGCTAACACATAAGACATGAACTTAAAGCGAAGGCTGGAGGACAGCAGGAAAATCCGTCATTCCAGATRCAACAACTTACATGTCACATGCAGAGCAGTGGTGGCAGCGGTCAGGTTTGATTAGCTGGCACCGATCACAGTATCTGATGGCTGCATTCAAAAGGCAAGGAGACATTAGAATTGACTTAATTTTATGTTTTTCCCCCCCATTCTTAACATAAATCTTAAGAGAGTTCACTCACCCTCTCCCCAAATACCTCTTTATACAGACCTTCCTGTACCTACTGTAATGCAATATACACCTTTTTTTTTTTTTCTTGGAAACATAACATACATACCTCAACAAATGTTCCCCCCATTATTACTACTGCACCCTATGTCTTAACTTACTACTAAGCCTATGTCTYAACTTCTGCTTTTTATTTACTATCTGGCTCCTCAGTTTTTCCATCCCTAAACCTCTGGAATTGATCTCCCAGTACTTGATTTCCCTGGACACGTGTCCATCCCACTGTAAAACTCCCTCCTTTCAATAAGCTGACTTCTTCAGCAAATGCAGAAGATCTAATAGGCTGTTCAGATCATTACTAATGGGCTGTTCATTAAGTTCTCTCTGGATATTTTAAAGCAAGACCTCAGGCTCTCCTCAATGGAAATATGATGCCAGTGCAGGCAGTTTGGAATGAGGAAGAAAGCCAACTTCCACAGCTAAGCAGAACTGTGAAAAACTGGCAAGAGCTTCCAGACCACTCCTGGAATTTAAAACCAGGATTCCCTGAAAAGGAGGTTTGTATTCCAAAAAGCCAGGTGTCCTTCCACTTCATTTGGAAAGTCACAGAAAAATCTGGTAGTAGTTTTTTGAGAAATCTACAGCATTGCTTGTTTAGAGAAATAGCTATATAAAAATAAATATAAGCTACATATGTGTATGACGTAGTTTCATAGCTGATTCTTGTATTACCCGGAATAAGAATACTTATGAAGTCAAACAGAAACAGCTCACGACAAGCTCTTATTTATACGGCTGAATGGTGGGACTGAAATAACATTTATTGGTTCATAAATTCTAGCATTAATGATCAGCTCTCTAGTGATGAACTCTCACCGAACTGGCATAGTTCAGAAAGAGAAGTTGAAAGTGGGATATGAATGAATGCAAGTTTGAGTAGAAAGCTGAATTTTAATCTATTTCTAGCTGTATTTCTTTGTTGTAGTCATTCTTACAGCTAGACTGGGAGATAAATTGTCATCTGTCTGCTTACTGGAAGATTTTTTTTTTTTGAGAAAGCTTTAGATCTATAGACAAAGGACTCTAGTTTCTCATGGGGAAAACACAAGGTCATGGCCTTTGCAGTGTGTGTTTAATAGATTGTTCATTCAGTAACGACATATGAATTCCACTGAATCAATCTTGCAGCTTGTGGGGGAGCAGCATTTTGGAAGAAGTATCTTTGTATCTCACCTCTTGATGCCGTTGTTGTATAGATAGGCAAGTCTTTAGCAGCTCTTCTCAGAATTTCCTGCTGGGATTCTGGTCTCTCTTCTTTTTCATATTGTTCTTTATCAGCTTTTGACAAGCAAAACTGGGAAGGCAAAAATGGGAGGAGGCAAAAGAATAATTATCACTTTGTGTTCAATTAAAAAAAAAAAA